CAGCCATGGTCTGGAAAACTGTTTGCCGCACACGCCGCATCGGTGGGCCAACTTGTGGGTGAGCACGTGCATAGCCAGAGCTGGCATCGACACGTACGCCTTTCCACACGTGATGCACTTCTTCGCCGCCTGGCTATCCAGACTCCGATGAGTCTGTTTGTGCCTGGACAGGTTGCTACTGGTAGCGTACTGTTTGCCACATTCGCTGCACGTGTACTTTGGCTTCTCGTTGCTGATCTTCGCGGTGAGAGCGCCGACCGTTTCGTCCGCATTCAGCCGCTTCTTCGACCGGCCATCACTGACGAAGAAGGCCTCGTAAGTGTAGGCCACTGTTTTTCCGCTCTTAACGCCAATTGACGGGGGCCGGATGTTCTCCTGTTCCTGGATGTCGTTGTCGCGATGTTCTACTGTCTGCGGCGTGGGTGCCGGGAGGAAGACGGTGGTCGAGGCGCTCAGATCCAGAATGGCATGGGCCGCGTGCAAATCCTCCTCTGCCGGCACTCTGATGGTGGGCTGGTTGGTGAGAAATGAGAGAGGCGAGTGGTGCTCCTCGATCACTCCCGCTTTGCCGCCCTCGTCCAAACAGTACGGCCGGTAGATGTCCTTTTTCTTGGGCGGGAGGCTCAGGTGGGCGCCTGTTGAGGTGAAGGTCATCGAGAGGCTTTTCCTCTTGTAGGGCGGCGGCGACGGCGGGATGAATTCGGGTGCGGGAGGAGGTTCCTCCAGCACCCCGTACGGTGCCAGGGCATGTTGCGATGGAAATTCGCTCTTTGCAATGTAGGTGGTGAAGGAGGACGGGTGCACTTCGTGTATGTAGCCTGAAACAAGCATCGGGATTTGAGCAACTAATTGGAGGCGATGACGGCTTAAAAATCCATCAGCACGAGTTCGCAAAAGGGGTTTTCCCCCTCGTATCGAACAATATTAAGTAGTATAAGAAGTCGAAATAAATAAAAATAGCCCACAAAAAAGCTTCGATTTGATATTTTAAATTTGGTGTCAATTCTTCTTCTTCTTCTTAGCGTGCCTTATCCGTCGCGGACGTTGGCTATCAACATGGCAATTTTATTGACGGCATTTCTAAATAGCTGTATAGATGTAAGTCCAAACCACTGGCGTAGATTTTGTAGCCATGAGTGTCTTCTCCTCCCTGGTCCTCTTTTACTGTTGATCCTTCCTTGAGCTATTACTGGAGTAGACGATATTTTTGATGTCTCATTATGTGTCCGAGGTATTCCAGTTTCCTCTTTTTAACTGTGTGTGTAATTTCTCTCTCTTTCCCAATTCGCTGCAGCACCTCTTTATTAGTTATGTGGTCAGTCCACGAGATTCTGAGGATGCGGCGGTATATCCACATTTCAAAGGCGTTTAATTTTTTCATTATGGCTTCCGTCGTTGTCCATGCTTCTGCTCCGTAGAGCAAAATTGGGAACAAATATCACTTTGCCAACCTTATTTTTAGAGGCAGGGATATATTCTTGCTTGTGAATACACCCTTCATGTTGTTGAACGATGCTCGAGCTCATCATTGATCACCGTACCAAGGTACTTGTATGACTCCACACGTTCGATCGTCTGGTCGTTTAGTGTAATGCGCTCATTGTGTTTCTGATATTTGCTCACCACCATCCACTTTGTTTTTGATATATTTAGGCTAAGCCCGTGGTCTGCACTCACTTTCTGTATTCTTTCCATGACGCGCTGCAATTTGTCTATGTTGTTGACTAGTATGACTGTATCATCAGCATATCGCACATTGTTAATCCACTCTCCATTTATCTGTATACCCTCTGTTGCCTCCTCCAACGCTTTCCCAAATACGTTTTCCGAGTATATATTGAAGAGGAGCGGAGACAGGCTGCAGCTCTGCCTCACGCCTTTTTTAATTTCTATGTTGTCAGAATACCGGTTGTTCAGCTTTATCTTAGCGGTTTGTCCCCAATACATGTTTGCTATTATGCGGATATCTTTATTATCGATGCCGGTATTTTCGATGATCTTTAATAATAGCTCATGGTCTACGCTGTCAAACGCTTTGACAAAGTCGATAAAGCAAAGATATACTTTTTTGTTGACATCTCTACATCGTTGGATAAGAACTTGTAGACTAAAGATAGCTTCTCTTGTCCCAAGGGCATTCCGAAATCCAAATTGGGATTCACTGATGTTTTCTCCACATTTATTGTATATTCTGTTGTGGATTATTTTGGTGAAGACTTTTGTAATATGATTGATGAGGCTGATGAGTCGGTGTTGATCACAGGATTTCGCGTTTTGTTTTTTCGGCACTGCGATGAAGGTTGATTCAAGCCATTCTTTGGGTATTTCGCCTCTATTATAAATATCATTAAATAGACTCGTGAGGATATCGCGAAATTGATTATCAGTTTCACACATAAGTTTTAGTATTTCTACTTGAATGCTATCAGGTCCAGGAGATTTGTCGTTCTTGAGATATAGAATAGCTTTTTCAGTTTCGGATTCATAATTTCCGTATCTATCTCATTCATATTGTGTTCTTTAGATCGTTCCGAAGCAAAGAGGAGTTCGACATATGATTTCCATACCTCTAGACATTTTGATTGTTCGGAAATAATATTATCGTTAATGTCCAGTATGAACGTATTTCTGTTGTTTATTTTATTTGTTGTCATTTCCCTTATTTCCTTCGGTAGTCGTACTTCTTGGTGTCAATGCCATTTTCTAAATGTCAAGTTTTGACGTTTGTAACTTTCAAAAGCTTTCATTTTAATATATGATGTGTGAATTCAATTCACCAGAAGTTGGAGATGCCGCAACTGTTAGTTTCAACTTCCCACCTTCAAACAGCTTCTCTCACTGTATGGTGTTTGTATAAATTGCATATTTTGCATGACATTGGCGCTATTTAAAAAGAGCGTTTTTTGCATCTTGCAACATCGGCGAACGCAGACAAAGAGCGCTATTAAAGCGACTTTGTGACTGAACTTGTGAACAATTTATAATTTAAAAATTGTAAGCAAATAATAAATTAAGGATCTAAAAAAGCAGCTTTTCAATTAAAATAATTTAAAAATTTTGATTCATTTGAATAAAATAGTGGTTTTCGATACAAAAGCCGTTCCGGCCGACGATGACGAGGCCGTCAGGAGTTCGAAAAACGGATTTTTGCCCTCGAATCGAACAATATTTTTTATTCGAATAAAGAACATAACACAAATAATAAGTTATAATAAATGAAAATAGGCAAAAATAAAAAGCGTCAACTTCATATTTGAAATTTGATGTCAATGCCATTTTTGAAATTGTCACGTTTTGACGTTTGCAATTTTTCAAAATCGCACTTTTGTACGCATACATATACAACTAAAACAATGAGAATGCAAGTGCTGCTTTCGCGGTATGCTGTTTGTATAAGATGTATATTTTGCATGAAATTTGTGCTATTGAGAAAAATCGTGTTTTGCTTGTGGCAACATCGGCGAGCGCAGAAAAATAGACCATTTGAACGACTTTGCAACTGAACTTGTAACAAAGTATTAAAAAAGCATATCGGTTACTTTTTAATGAAAATACTTTAAAAATATAATAACAGTGGCCCTTTTAGATTCATTCGAGTAAAAAAATATTTGTCTCAACTTGTCCCGCTAAAACCTGATCTATTTTAAGCCGCAAAGTAGCAAGTTTGAACGTAGCAACCCGCAGTACATCTTGCATCTCCGTCAGAGTTCTATGTGTGCAAGTGAGCTAACAGATAATAATGATAACCAGCCACGTTCCTGAATGGAAAGTTCAGTTTCAATAAATTTATTAGAATCAGAGTGAAGACACTCGAACTCGACTTTTTTGTTTGTGAAGGGAACACACCTCTGAAGATGCAAACAGGACAAAACTCTTGTTGGCAACGGCCTAAAAACACAAAAAATCACCGATTACTCGAACGAAAGCCGCGAAACCACCGTTTGATAAAAAATTACTTTCCGACTATTTATTTCACGTCGTTTGCCTAGTTGCTTTTGCAATAAGTGAATCATCCAGCGATTTAAAAAATGATGGTTTTTTCAAAAAGACACTGAAAAATTGGACCCGTTGCGGTCAATAGAGTATAAGTGCAATTTCAAAGAGCGCAACCCGGTCATACCGGACAAAACTGTGCGCCCGGATCGAAACAAGTTTCGGTAAATATGCAAAGCAAGGTTGGAAGCAACAGCTGCTACCTGGGGATGAGTGCCCGAGTTCTCAATTTCTCGCCCTTTTAATTAAATCGAACAGATTAGACGACAGCTGGCACGAGAGCGGCACACGAGGGGTGCCAAAAGGGCCGTCCACCTTTCCAACATCTCCCCCTCCCCCTTACACAGCCACGTTAATGAAGGGCATAAATTTGTTGCCGTATCATCTTTGTCCTCCCTTCCGGGTGTTAATGGCAAGATAAGTATTTTCTTTTTGGGGCCTGGGGGTTTTTTACGTGCAACTTCATGAGTCCGAGCAAATGGTCGGGACCATCGTTCTAGATCATCATCATCATCTTCGCCCTTGATATACCTATCAATGCCAGCAGCGAAGCCCTTCAATCTGCTGTCGCGCATTTCAACGCGTTTGTTAATTCCATTAATTCTAATGGAATTAAGGATTATTGCCCATTTAAATATGCAGCTTTGCTTCCACCAGTTGCCCGAGGCGATAATTTAATTTGTCGTCTCGAAAATCTGTTTGCGTTTCGCACCCTCTTCGGTTCCCGTTTGCCGTTGCATCTGTTTGTTTGTTTGTTATCGGCCAATTGGCCAATTCCTCTATGATGGATAAAATGGAACAACAATAATCAAGCCGGCCAGATTAATCGGAAGATTAGAAGGATTGTTTCGGATCGATTTCCGAAGCTGTGTGTGCGAGCCGAGTGGAAATGGGTTAATAATTCATTAGTGCCGTTAGCCGCAAAAGTGGAAACTCTGAGTTATAATTAAAGCTATTAAAAGTTTTATTAAGTTAGTTCACGGCGACGTTGTAATTTTTCGACGTTATTCGACGACGTTGTAATTTTAGCCGGTTAATATCGGGGTTGAGTGGCCCGGCTCCCAACAAAGGAGGATCGACTAATTCGCCGCTTCTTCACTTTCCCAGTCTCCGATTATTTGCACGAAATCGACGTGTTGCCAACATCTAAACCTGTTGCCTGAACTTTTTCCACTTTAATTCACTTAAATGCGCCCCAAGAAGGGTCTCCGCCAACAAATAGGGAAAACTCTAACTAACCCTCTTCCCCTTCTAAAGCTATATATATATTCAGGTTTACACGGTTTCTTCGAATTGAGTTATTGGCACAAACATCTCCGAATTGAAATATTCCTCGCTTCGTTATCTGCCGCGAAAATTTTCCCTTTTATTCCAATAAACGCGGTTTTTGGCGGTGACAGAGAATAATTTCACTTTGCCGCTTGTTTCTCATGCAAATCGCCTGATTTGGAGCGCAATAATTGTTTCTATGTAAGGGGGCGGAGCTTCGCAAGCTATGCAGTCGCTCACTCTTGCGTCCGTCCGTTGCATTTAGTGTATTTATTTCACATTTTATAAGGGAAAAGTCGAAATAAATTAGTGATGAATTTAAAAACTTTATGCGGGTCAGCGCACAATAGAACAGCGTTGTACAGGATGTTCGCTAAATACTTTCAGAAATACAGGTTTCAGTTGTCTAAACTAATTTTAATGAGTGCAAGTAGAAACGCTTTTGCAGACATTTCACGAAAGTTGTTCCGAATGCTTGGGACAATTTTTAGGAATATACAGAGTTGGTGCTTGTGAGACTCCGTTTGGGAGAGCTTTCAGCTATCCGCTAACTGTTGAAGCGGTAAAATCAATGTTCAAAAATAGAAGCCAAAGTGAACTTGTTGTTGAAGCTACAAGTTGGCCTTGCTCTCATTCAAAGTACCTGTTTGGCTACGGCCACCTGTCATTTAGAGGGTTTAGAGCAACAGTTACTGATGGTGATCAAACGGGGATTTTTCTATCGTTCCCTTTGACTCAACTGGTTGAATGTTTCAGTAATGGTCTGAACGGTCACTTTGAGTGGGTTTTAGCAAGAAGTTTGGGAAATTTTACTCACCATTATAGAGTAGAGTGGTTCCACTAGGACTGCCAGGGGGCGGCGAAGGTGCCGTGGCCCCCTCCGTAGGACTGGAAGGGCCCCAGCAAGCCCCCTGCGAATCTCCGACCACATCGATGATCTCCTCTTCCTCCTCCGGGTCTTTCGCGGGCTCCCTTTCCGCCCATGGGTAGGCCTTCCACTTTTTTGCCATCAAGCAGCGAGGCATCTTCAGACATTTGACTGTCGCCGTTCAACAACAATTATTCACTTTGCGCACTTGATGTTCGTCGAGCGGTTCGCCTGTTAGATCATCGTTTCGGAAACGGAAAAATCGAAACCGAGCAAAAGGTGTGGAAAAATGAAAGGAAACACGAGTTTTTTTTGGTTTTACTTTTTCGGGTGGCTGATGTTGTTGTTGTTGTTGTAAACCGCGCGACGCGTTTTGAGGCCGCCGTTTCGAGTGCGTTCGAGAGAGAGACAGACAGACAGAGCGACAGCGTGAATGAGGAAACGAACGAAGAGAGAACTAAACTAAAGTAGCGTCGTCAACCCCTCGTGGTTCGGTTGTGCGCCCCGTCGAGCGCGCGACTTTATATATAAGGGATGGAGTTGGGGGGCGCAGGGAGCGGAGAAAAGTTGGGCCGCGCGCTGTTGCTCCGGCGGGGGGGAACCGGGTGTTGCATGGCACTGGTTGCTTCTTCCTGAAAGGGGGTGGGGGGGGGGTTGCCACAACACCCCCACCCCCGCTCAACCACATGGAACAACCATCAACATTCAACCACTAAGCAAAACTTCCTGATTGTTCTAAAGTTGCCAGACGTTTCCCTTTTCCTTTTCGATCTGCGTCGATTTAGAAATTGGGGAAATGCTGCTTGACTAAGGAGCTGGCAGCAATTTGAAGTTTTACTAAGAACACCCTGTATAAAAATCAAGCTCTGTACAAGTTTTATAAAGTGAAATCTATCTTCTGTGTGGAAATTAGGCAGATTTTCATTAGTTTTCAGGTTCTCCTCTAAAAATCCATTGATCAATACTTTACAGAGTGGTTCTTGATTAATGGCGCATTAGACTCGCAAAACGCAATGCACAGTTTTTTAGTCTCACTTCCGGCAATTTGTTCAAAGTTGCACACGGTGGGAATGATGAAAACGGTTTTTATTGCTTTTCTCAATCGACCACCCTGTATATTGGGAAACACCAATAAACTGGTGGTAAACAGCCGATTTCGTGCCTATTTTGAAGCAAAACACTGTGCGTAAATGTAAAACAGATGAATACTGAAGAAAAGTGCACAACAACTGACACTTTTCCAGGCACCAAAAAATACCGGCTACGTTCCTACCACGTATGTAAGATACACATTAAACCAATGGATTACTGAACACCGGTATAAATTGAGCAGGAGTTAATTAACGGAATACGAGAAGCTACTCGAGAAGAGTGCATAATAAGGTGATTACACAGGCACTTGTTTGGAGTTACAGACTCAAATATATGTTTTTGAAATTTGTAAACAAATTAATAATTCGAGGTTATGAGTTTCGAAATAGGTTCCGTCATTCAACGATTGCTGTTGAATTTACCGTTTATCCTTGTCTAACTTATTGTCACTTCCTCTATTTATCCATGGTTACCGGAGTTTTTAATAATTACGAATCAATTACCAATTAAAAAAACATTGTTGACGTTCCTCTAATATAGTTTTGTGCACATTTCTCACTTTTTAATAACAATTAATTTTTTTAAATATTTTTTCTGTACTCTTAAAACTGCGCCAGTCAACACCTCCAGAGGAATGACGCCAATTTTGAATCACCCTGTATAATATTACTAATCTAAAACGGC